TTAATATATATAAAATTTTTAAAAAATATATTTTAGGTAACCGTACCTGGCTGGGCACTGTTGGCATGCCAACCGGCGAGCGGCACCGAAAATATGACAACCGGATATAGTAGGCAGCCTGGCAACCGCGAGTAGGCTAGGTAGCGGGCAACGGCGGTGGTGGCCGACAGGTGGACGATCGGTTTGGCTCCAAGTCGCGTTTGACCAAATTTTTGGCCCGGACAGTACGATTCTAACATTTTTTTAGTCTCAAAGATATTTTTTTTGACATTTCAGACTCAATTTTGATACTTATGGAGCAAATCGAGAGTTCTATTGTCATGGTCTAATTGTTTTCAAATTTTGAACATTGTTAGAAATTTATTAGAAGCTGTAACACATATTTAGAATTTTGGAGTTTCGACGTCCGGAAATAGAAGGGCAACTGATATATCATAAAAAATAATCAAGATTAGGCACAAATCTCGAGGCGAAATTGAGTTGAAAACTTTGAAAATTAATTCATGACCATTCAAACTCTGATTTTAGTAAACTTCTAGTCGAACTCAACATTTTGAAAATACAAACCAAACTACACCAAGTTCAACTCAATGCAGGCCCAAATGGGTCCAAATTGAAGACCCAAAGTGCATTTAGAAGATTCATGCTATAAATTTGACCACCAAATAATTTTCAAACGCGACATGCTCATAGTCAAATAGCGGGTTGAGACGAATCCAACGAGCCCAAGATCATCGAATTATGATATTATTAAGAAACTCAAAGATTTGATAAACGATTCAAAATTAGAGTTCTCTCGCCACCAGATTCCTCCTCAACCCCAGCCCGGTTACTGACTATCGCCAGACTTCTGCTAGACCCCATTTTTATCCAAACTTCTGCCTGATCATCAGCTGTTGTCGGTTGGGCTGCAAACGAACCGAGCCGAGCCGAGTATGTGAGTGTTCATGTTTGTGTTCATTTAATATTATCTTGTTCAAGTTTGGTTCATGTTTATCGAGCTTTATTGTTTGTGTTCATGTTTCGTTCATTTAAATTAATGAGTGTTCATGTTTGATTCATGTTCAATTCATGTTCGTTCGTTTAGTGCTTATCGAGCTTGTTCGCGAACATATTTAACGAATTTTTTTAACTATCAAACAAATATGTTCATGAACATATCTATGAACAAGCACATTTATAATAAAAGCAATTTTATATGTAACAAAGGCAATGATTATTTATATTTATTAATTATATAGCCAAATATTAATTATTTTTATCGAGTTTATTCACGAGTTCAAAATCGAACACGAATCATACTTTTATCGAGCTTCTTATAGAGCTTAATGTCGAGCTTGTTCGCGAACTTCAAATGATGTTGTTCGTGAACATAAATGAGCCGAACACATTAGTGTTCAAGTTTGTTTATTTAAGAATCGAGTATTTAAAATATTGTTTATGTTTGTTTGTTTAGTTAATTAAACGATCACAAACAAGCTTTAGTCGAACCGAATAACGAGTAGCTCGTCGAACGTTTGGTTCGCTTGCAGCCCTAGTTGTCGGACTTCATCCTGGTCACAACTGATATTGAATTTACACTTGGCCACCGATCGTCATATGACTTTCTTCCGATCCCGATTCATCGTTAGATTTTAACCCAATGGTTGACTATTGTACTCAACTTCAAGAATGAGTTAATCATTTGTAACATATTCAAACACCAGTGGATTCATTTTAACTGAAAGTGTCCCCGTGGTTTTTATCTTATGTATTTTTCATGTAAATTTTTTTGATATTTATTCTCTTTATTTGCAAGCTGGATACTCGTGAGATATTAAGATACAAAATTTTAATATTTTATCATCATGAATATTCTAGTCTGCAAAAAAATTAATTATCATTATTTTTTAACTCCAAAAAAATTGGGAAAGAAAATATCACGCGAAAAATAATTAAATTGATACCGTTTCTCCGCACGGATTCGGCACGAATACAAAAGAGGGGTTTCAACTAAAGAAGAATAATGTCGCTCTCCTCACTTTGCTCAGTCGTCTCCTTAGTCCGCTACTCATACGCGTGCAGTCTTCCTCCTTTCTAGGGTTTCGTGCGCTCGCGGCGTTTCGCCGTCGAATGGATCATCTCCTTCAGGCGAAGCAACTCTCCACCGGTGGTGGCGACGCTATCGATTACGCTTTCGCCGTCGAGTATAGTGGCCCGCCGGTCCCTTATGAGATCCCTCAGGCCATCCCGATCGAGATCGAACGGATCCCCGTCGCCACCGTGGTATCGCCAGCCTTCCTTTCCGACCAACTCGCTCTCCCCGTCGCTCAGCCTCTCCCGTCCCCGAACCCCCTCAAGAAAGCTGATGTCTACTCCCCGACCTCTGTCATTGAGAACCACATCGCTGTTGATGGCGAGCTATCAGGCGAGGTTGCCAGCTCCGGCGCGGTCGTGTTCTCCAGCGAGCTTAAGGGAAGCGAGGGTTATTTGAACGAGCGGAACTCGATGGAGTCGGACCTGAGTTCTGATTTTGGATTGCGTTCTTCGGTCTCTGAAGAGGATGAGTACGGGGAAGAACGCGATGGTGAAATTAACGATCAGGTTAGGCCGGTTGGGGTGAGTTTCCAGGGTTCAGCGGAAACGAGTGGGGCTGCCTCTTCGGATATGATCGCTGGTTGTCAGGGGAGAGATGAAGAGTATGTGAGGATGGTGAAGAAGGGGGCATGCTGTAGGTGCTTGAAAGGAAACCGGTTTACGGAGAAGGAGGGTTGCTTGGTTTGTGATGCGAAGTATTGCAGCGGGTGCATTTTGAGGGCGATGGGGTCCATGCCGGAAGGTAGAAAGTGTGTCCAATGCATTGGGGGTTCGGTTGATGAGTCAAAGAGGGAGAGGCTGGGGAATGCCTCTAGAATGCTGAAGAGATTGCTGAGTTCTCTGGAGGTTGAACAGGTTATGAAGGCTGAGAAATATTGCGAGGCAAACCAGCTTAAGCCAGAAGACGTTTGTGTTAATGGGAAACCGCTCACTCATGAAGAGATTTTTATGTTGCAGAGCTGTCCATGCCCACCCTCGAAGTTGAGGCCGGGCTACTATTGGTATGACAAAGTCTCTGGATTTTGGGGAAAGGTAAGCTTTTGTCTTTGAGTGTTTCCATCACGATTTTATCTACAAGATGTACAGTAAAACTGATCGATAAAGACCTCGTAGTTCTATCTTTTGATGTTCAGATTAATTTTTGACCCGTAGATTTCCTATGTCGTCAGCAAAATGAGTTTGTTGGTCTTATAAGCCTGCTAGGTTAAAATGCAGCATGAGCTGATGAATACATTTCCTGTTCTAGGCTTGTAGAATTGTGTGTGTGTATGTTTTTTTTTTCTAAATTATTAATTATGGAATGACTTTCAGTTGTCATGGCAATTGGACGTAGTAATTTAAGGTTATTTTGAATATTGACCCTATGCTTTATCTCTTTGATTTCAAAGTTATTAACATAAAGAGAGAAGATGGCATGCATCTATAAACCTTTTTTCTTGTGTGAGATTACTGCAGTTGAATAACCACAACTTGTATGAAACTAGACAGGTAGGGCACAAGCCTGAGAAGATTATTAGCCCCAATCTTAACGTGGGTGGCAGTATAATGCGCAATGCAAGCAATGGAAACACTGGCATATTGATAAATGGTCGTGAGATTACAAAAGTTGAACTGCAAATGCTTAAGGTTTGTTGATGAGACAATAAAAGTTTGAATTGGCTATTAGAAGCATGCGATGGCTAAATTATGTTCTATTTACAGTGGGCAGGGGTTCAATGTGCTGGAAATCCTCACTTTTGGGTTAATTCTGATGGAACCTACCAGGAAGAGGGCCAGAAGAATATTAAGGGTCAGATATGGGGAAGGGTAAGTTCAAAGCCTTTACTTGAATATTACTGTTTCTGTAATAACAATTGTACCATTTCTGCATGCCCCCTTCCCTCTTCCTCTAAAGTACATATTGAAGCCATTGCTTTTTTCCATGGGCTGGGCAGGCGAGGACAAAGTTGCTTTGCTCTTTTTTATCATTGCCAGTTCCCTCAAAAGCTGCAAAGACTTTTGGCGAAGATGTGAATATCATGGTCAATAGAGCTGTGCATGATTACAGTGAGCAGAGGACAACCCAAAAGCTTCTTTTAGTTGGTTCTTGTGGATCTGGCTCCAGCACTCTATTCAAACAGGTATTGAACCTTTTTTCTTTCCAAACTTTTCTACTAAATGATCCAATCATCTAATTGGAACCATTTTTTTTGGAAGATATACCTCTTTGGTAACCTACATTTTTTATGGCAATATTCAAAAAAAATATTTTAGTCTTTATTATTCTCATAAAGACTAAACTTTTTAACATTATTTTAAAGACTAAAAAAATGCCAGATGAGTAAAAGAGTGTGTTAGTTCCTATTTTTAATAATAAATATGATGCACAGGAGTGTGTGAATTATAGAGGAATTAAGTTTATGTGTTATACAAATAAATTATGAGAGAGAGCAATTAAGCATAGGTTACAACGTGATACTAATGTTTCTTAAAATCAATATGGATTCATGCTGGTTAGGACTATTATGGATGCTATACGTTTGTTGCGAGGTTTGATGGAGAAAATATAGAGAGAGTAAGGAGGATCTACATGTGATATTTATTGATTTAGAGAAAGCATATGATAAAGTTACAAGAGAAGTGCTCTGGAGAGTTCTAGAAGAAAAATGAGTTAATAATGCTTATATTCAAGTCAGTAAAAATATATATACATGAGCTATTACTCGTGTTCAAACACAATGTTGTTTGATCAAACAATTTCCTATTTCGGTTGGATTCCATCAAGGATCAACTTTAAGCTCATATTTTTTTGGCTTTATTCATGGATGTTCTTACTATCTATTTACAAGAGGATGTACCCTGGTGTATGCTTTTTGCTAATAATATTCTTCTTGTTGATAAGACTAGAGAAGAAGTTGATGAAAAACTTAAATTATAGAGGTCAATCTTATAGTCTAAAAGTTTTCATTTGAGTGGATCTAAAATTGAATGCATGGAGTGTAATTTTTGTAGTAATAGATTCAACAGTGGGATTGTGACATTGGATGATTAAGTCATTAGAAAGAGTGCACATTTTATATATATGACACCTATTGCTCAAAGTGGTGGTGAAATAAATGCGAGTATTATTTGTAGAATTCAAGTTGGATGGTTGAAGTGGGAGGAATGATTGAGTCTGTTGTGTGGTAGAAAAGTACCCTACAAACTTTAAATTTTATAAGATGGAGAGACCTGCAATGCTTTTTGTCGCAAAATGTTGGCCATTAGAAGGAAGCATAAAATGAAGTGTTGCAGAGATGAGGATGCTCAGGTGATGCAACCTAAGTTTTTAAATATTTGATGGAGAACACTTAGGAAAGCAATTAGAAAACTTCTTCCTTTCAGTAAAGCAGAAACATTCTAAAAATAGAAAAAGTTCTAGAAAACAGCTTATAAAATTCGTAAACATCAAGAAACAACAACAAGGCTACCCTCAAAACATCCGACAAGTGGTCACCTCACATGCAAAGCTCGAAATATAAAGGATATGTGCTCAAAGGATATATCTAACCCGGAATCCACCACTGAAATGATACGTCACAAGTCCACACTTCTCCAACAAATACAACCAAAACGTGACAGTAAACACCACCAAGCTCACAAGAGAAGAATGATACAAATGGGGTGAGAACCGTGGATAGAGAGGAAGAGGTAGAAGATCGGGACGAAATAATAGAGGGGAATGAGAAAGGAGGCTAGCTCGCAAGCTAAAAAACCCGCATGTTTGTATGCAAATTATTTACCAAAACTCTTCCAAACTGCAGGAAAATAGCCACTATATATAGGGGGAAAAGGGAAAAAAATATTTAATGCAAGGTAATTAAGCACCACCCAAACAACCACTAGAATTCCCTTGAAAACCGTAGCAAACAGGGATCGAAGGGACATCAGCTAAGGGGTAAATGAGGCATTAATACTGCAGTTAATGGGCACAAAAACTGAAAGGACAACTTCCCAAAGCGAAGGGACATCAGTCAGGGGGTAAATGAGGCATTATTACAACATTTAATGGGCACAAAAATGAAAGGGACAGCTGCCCAAACTGAAGGGACAACAACTAGGGGAAAAAATCGAGGAAAACAAGGCACACGAGGGGATAAACCAACAACCCACCAAGGGAAAAACAAAAGAAACAAGGTGAAGGATAGGGAGAGACATTCCTAAGAGCACCAACCTAGCAAGATCATTGGTTGACTTTAATCATAGGGTAACAAAAAAAAAACATAGAATCCAAAACATAGAAAAATAAAAAACATAGAAAAATAAAACATAGAATGATAATCCTTGATTGCATCATCAGGTGGATGAATGGCTTTGCACTTAGATATGTGAAAATGTTGGAGTAGCCCTATTGGCAGATAAGATTAGGGAGAGTTGTTTTAGATGGTTTGGTTACATAAAATGTTAGCCTTCCGATGACCCTGTTGGGAGAGGTAGATGTATTAGATCTGACATATCTTAAGAAAGGTAGAGGTAGATCTAAAAATACTTGTTAGAAAGTATTAGCAATGAGATTTTTTTTTAAAATTAGATTTAAATGAGAATTTTACTCTTAATAGGACATAATGTCGAAAAAATGATTCATGTAGTCGGCCCCATGTAGTGAGATAAAGACTTGCTGTCAATGCTTTAAAAACCGGACCAGACCGGCCGGTTCGACTGGTTCGGTTCAACCCTAAAACCGCCTTCACTTCAAACCGGCCGGTTTTGGCCAAAACCGCCGGTTCAACCAGTGAACCGGCGAACCGGTCCGGGTTTTTTAAAACCGGCCGGTTCAAATTTTTTTAATAATAATTAAATAAATTATTTTATGTTAAATTCTTCTGAATGTTAATATAAAACTTTAAATTTTATATAAAGAGAACCTTGCTTGCTGTCGTTGTTGTTCCATTATTCTCATAAAGGATACATCCTCAAGTTGTTCCACTTATCTTTTCATTTTGAGGCTGAAAGTACTTAGGCTGACGTTAAAGCTTTCAACTTCAATTTGCAGGAGTTTGAGTACGCATATGATTTTGTGTTCACATGAACTTAGCTTTTCTTGTAAATTTATTGTTTTTCATGGACCAGTTATGGTTATGATCACCATTTGTAGTGTCTGTAAAACGTGACTTGAGTTGACATGATTTTTATGCTGTTGCATATCAACCCCTGCTGCCTTTTTTAATTTCCAAACTTAGGCTATCCAGTTTTGGAACCTTCCTTGAAGGGCTGCAGTATATTTTATTTTCAACTGATTAAGGTTGCATATGGTCAAGTTTAGCTTATAAACCCGACTCTTTAAAAGTTGTAATGGGCTAGGCTTAATGAACATGTGCTTTATTGGGTTAGCCCTAGTTGGCACAAGAACAATGCAGTCATCATTAATCCTCACCGCTATTAGTTTCTGGATGAAATGAACTAAAACAAAAATAATATTGTAAGAGATGTTTGAAGTATCACTAACTCATCATCAATAGGCTAATTTATAAGCCAAACTCCTTAAACGTTCTAATAGGCATGCATTTTAATCGACTAGCATTAACGGGTTCAAGGAAAATGCATTTATTCATTTATCATTAAACTGCACCGCTATTGGTTTCTCGATGATACGGAGTTAGATAAAAATAATATTGAAAAATGGATTTGAAATATATTTTAATCATCATCTAATATATACTTACCAAAGAAATGGTGTAGAAGGGCACATGATTCAGAAAACACAGGGCAAAATAGTGAGAACAATGTTGAGGAACCCACAATACTGTAGTTAACACCAATTTGAACGAAGTTACTGATTAAACAATCTCTAAATACCAAGTATGTAAGCTTACTAATCATATATGTACGGTTTAACTTGAATCAAATCAAATTTTGAGGTAGTCTCTGTAAACTTAAAATTAAATCAAAATAAATTTTGATCCTGACACCTCGAAGTCAAATGCTGAGTTAATTTATTTTAGATTAAAAAAGTGAGTGAATTTCTATACTTATTGGAGACATATAATATTATAAGCTATTTTAAATAAATTTTCATAGGTATCCAACCAAGGCCCAGCACGCCATCACCGTATGGACAAGCCCAAGCCCTTGATGAGCTTTGAAGAGCTCATTTAAGTGAGCTTAAATGCATTTGGGTATTCCATTTGACTTCCTAGCAACCGACCTTTCATTTTCATCACGCCAAAAGCAATTATAATGTGTTTTAATGGCTTTAATGCATCATTTAATTGGAATTTGATGACTGCCTTTTTCAGGCTAAGTTTTTGTATAAGAGAGATCCATTCAACGAGGAAGAGCTTCAGAGTATTAAGTTGATGATTCAAACAAACATATATAGTTATCTCGGAATATTACTTGAGGGCCGTGAACACTTCGAGGAAGAGTTTTTATCTGAGAAAAGGAAAAATCAATTTTATGAATCTTCTTCTTTAGGTACGCTTCCTGTTATCTTCTTTTTGAAGTTCTTTTTCATAGAGAAAGTAGATAGTAGGAATTTAAATTTTCGTTTCCTTTTACTGATCATGACAGTACTTTTTATTTGGCATGCTGTTCTTTTCTTAATGTAACTGTTTGATTAGTCAATTTTATGTTAAATTCCAAATATGGCTATTTATGCTGTTACAACTCTTGCATCTTGTTGCCCGTTATGAGCAATTTCCTCTAATTATATTTTGATCGCTCTATAGATCCAATGATGGTTAAAGCTGATAGGTCTGAGACAAATTGTATGTAATTTTTTTTAAAGTTTGCCTGACATGCAAATTTGGCTGCAGGGCTGTCCATGGTGCAGCAAATGCATTCTGCATGGGCAGCCTTGTGCAGCCTTAAAGAAGCGGTAAGATATTAGTATATTTTGGCATGTGCAGGACCTATGATCTCCTAATGTTGTTAATTATTATAGAACAAAGGTAGTAGAAGTAGTTTATTAATTAGGTGCATTGAGTTGCTGTGTAGTGATTATGTCCAGTTGTCTGTTGTGCTTCCTCTTGGGTAACTCCCTGGAGGGCATCAAAATCTGCAAATACTTTATTTGTTTCAAACCCCCATTCTTCTTTGAGATATTAATTTAAATTTGCTGCATGACAAATCTGCATACATACCTGTCTTTCCTTTAAATTAACAAATAAATTAGAGGCCTTCACGAAATTATATACAATATCATCGTTTCATCGAAGGAAACATGACATTTTGTCAGGTTACCTAGGAGCATGTATTGAAGTGTGCTCTAGGAATCAAATCTGCATAAGATCAAATGTAAATTAATAAATGCATTAGTAAAATGAAATAAAAATTATGATGATGCATTGATACTCTTAACACTCAAAGTAGTAGAGGCACAAAATCATTTATGTAACCAGCTGGTTTCTGCATTGGAATCTTCATGAAAATTTTATTAAACTCTCCAACTAAAAATTTTCTAATTGACCCCACCTAGTTAATAGATGAAAACTCATTTACACTATTTGATATTGAATGAAGCCTTTTAGGGGTTTGTAAGTTATTAAGTTGAAAAAATAAATTTGAACACAAATACATAATAAATGTTTTTAACATATTGATTTGGGGTGGGGGGGAGGTTGATTTGTTCAACTCCAACATCTCATTCTTTACTTCTTTTGATGAGACTTCTGTAAGTACAGAGTTAAGCCGGGAGATCTCTTGACCTCTGTTTGGTAAACCAGTAAGAATGACCACTTTATCTGCTGTGAATTGTATATCATGTATAGCATGACCTTTATTATAAAACATTGTTGTGGAATATCCCAAAATATGAAAAGCTCGTACATCAGTGGGACATTTTGCTCGAGAGAAGGAATTTCAGAAATTGGTAAATGTTTAATCTTCTCAAGGTGTCCTCCACATCAGGGTTTATTATCTCCACAAAGTGTCACAGATTGTTTGGAAAGTTGATACATAACATCGAAAAGTAAGAGGTCGAACATAGACCTAAAATATTAAAGAAATTAAAAAAAAAAACACAGAACCCTAAACAAGCAACAACCAACATGCAGTTATAAAGAAGACAAACCCTAAACCCTAAAAAGAGTAAAAAAGAAATAAGTTAAACACATAAATTTGTTAAGTACATAATAGATACACAAAACTAAAAATGTAGTTCATACGCAGTAAATACGCATAAAAATGCAATTATTATGCATCTCATACGCAATTATCACAACAACAAATGACAGACTAACCTTTTTTAAAGGTGAAGCCATTAGCGCATATGAAAAGTGATTGAATGTTGGAGTTGCAAGGAGAACAATGAATGAAAAAGAAAAAAAATTAATACTAACTTGAAAAGTGAAAAGTTTCTGCTATTTTAATTTTTTACCAGGACTCTGGGCGGGTCGGTCGGGCTGACAAGACAGAAAAAAGACAAATAATAAAAAAGAATACAAATGAATATCCACGCGGGCAATTCACACGTCATGATTTTATAGGTGTCCGGATGCAGTGCTATGTTCTTACTCTGCATAGAATAATTTCTCATTTCAAAGGCATATTTAAGTTATTCATGATATTCATGATGATATTCATGATGCATCCCTAATTAATATCATAAGTTGTTGAGTGATTAAATAGTTTTTAGTTATTGTATGATTAATTTAAGGATCATTGTTGTGGGGGAAAAGGTATGATATCAGAGTATTCTCATATAAGAGATTTCACAAAAAGAGATAAGGCAAGAGGTTCAGTGTAGCATAAAAATTGGTTTAATTTGTTTCCTAAAGCGAATTTATCTCTTGAAGTTAATTACAGTCAATGACACCTTCAAGTGACAATCTCAACAGATAAAATATGCTTATGTTTTAATTTGACTTAGTTAATATCAAGGATAGATTAGGACTCAATGATTGTCATCATGATAGGATAATCTTTGACTTTGACATAAACCACTCCACAAGACGAGAAATTATTATGTGCAGAGTCTGGACGGGAAGAATCATCCGGACATGTGAGTGTACACACTGTATTCAAATTTGTCACAGTGTGTATCAAATTTTTGTGCACATTGTGTGTATACATTGTGTACACTACCAGTTTGGACGGTTCTTCCCGTTCAGACTCCGCACAAAATAATTTCTCCCACAAGACAGGTGAATCATCGTAATTAAGTGAGACAATTATCCCTCTATATAAAAAAATCTATTTATGACAATAAGTGAATCACCAAAAATTCAAGAGTGAAATGACTCAAAAGAGATGACATGTATTAGTAAGGAATACAATAAAACATATAAAGAATCTTATTAGTTTTTTTTTTTTTTGGATTAGCCATCTTGGCTACTAAGCTAAAAAATACTTAGCTTTCAAGGTAGTTGATCCAGCTTAGTTGTGAGATATTTTATCAACAATCATGAATTACATCATCAAAAGGAAGCCCTTGATCCCAAACCAAGGAAATGGAGTCCTAGATAAATGATGTTTAAGGGATAGATCTGGAAAGATGTAAGACTTACACAACCGTACATAATGAAGTGAACAAAATAACCTAATCATACACAACCAAGCTACTCAATTGGACTTATAGTCTGGTTTGGATTAGGATTGCCATGATATAGTGTGCTAGATGATTACTGATGTAAGCAAAATTTCAATATTTCCTCTTATTGGGCATTTATTGGTGGGCTGATTTTTCTTATATTGGGCTTGGCCCATTTGCCATTGGCTGTTTGGTGTTTGGAGTGTTGTGGCTGATTGGGAGCTGTTTTTTGAGCATTTGGCTGCTTGGTTCCTTAGTTGTCGTGCTTCTTTCTTGGTGTCTGTTCGGCTCCTGGCTGTTTCGATTCTGGCTGGTCTTTTGAGGGAGCCTGGCTGCTCGGTTTGTGGTTCTGCCGTGCCTTTTCTCTTGAGGTTTTCCTCTGTTTTGGTTGGCTGAATGGGGCGGCTTTTTTGGGTGTCTTTTGAGCTCCTTTCCCCTATTTAAATGAGATATTTGCCTTTTGTTTTATAGAGGTGTTATGTGATAATTTTTGGAAAGTGAATCATGTGGGTTTCGTATAGCTTGCGAGCTATCCTCTTCTATCTCCTCTCTTCTCTCCATGGTATCCACTCCATTTGTATCCTTATTCTCAATCTTTATAAGTTGTGTCGTGTCATGTTTTATTGAAAATTGAAGTGTTATTATGTCCTTTTTTATTTGAAGTTGTAAGGTGTTGTTGTGTCTTGTTTAGTGTGTGTATTTTGTCATTTGGAAGGAAGACAAGTATTTTTTTATTTGCAATAATTTTGTTTAGTATTTTTTATTTGCAATATTTTTGTTTTGATTGCATCAGTTACGTATGCGTATTCTATTAAAATTATGCTATCAAGGTAGGAGCTATCCTAAGGGATATGGTATGAATGCAAAGTTATTTGTCATTAAGGTGAAAGCCTTCAACCATATGCATTTGAGTAGACTATGTTATTAATGTGCATCAATTGGGGGATTGGATTGCTGACAAGCTCAACTATGCACCTCCTAAAAGAGATATAAAGAGAATAATTTTTAATTAAAAGTTGGTTTTTAAGTCATATAATTTAAATTAATAAAAAAAGATATTTCTCAAAATTGATTTTGACCTGATTATCAATTTGTTTAAGTTGATAGAAATAAATTTCAATAGTCTACCACAATATATGATTATAGACAAAACACTTGTGAGTAAAATGGTAAAAAAATGCAACTTGCAATTGAACTAGAAAAGAGTTAAGTATAGGCAGCCAAAATAAATGAATAATCAAGGTCGGGTGAAACTAAGCTTACAAATATGCTTCTAGTGAAAAGTAGAAGAAGGCAGATGGATCCTACATACTGACAACCTAGTTTAAAATAAAATACAAGTATCATGAATTCCTTTACCTCTTGTCTTTGTCACTTGGATAATCTCGAGTGCTCTTGGTTTGTTTGGGCTTGAGTGTGGCTATACATCAGATATCAATTTGAACTGTATAATCAAAGATTAGATGGTTCAAATCACATGTGTAAAAGTAGGGAACATCAACCTAAGATTGAAGGGATTCTATGATCATTGAGATGGTCACTCTCACCAAATTAGGCTCGTTGGAGTGTTGAAGTATTCTTAACATACCTACATGTGGGTTAAAAAAAGAATGCAGGCCTCTACAAGTGTGTTTGACCATTTGATCAAACATAGAAGAGGTTTAAAGTATAAAAAGATGTACTTTATGCAGGGCTATGAATGCTGACTAGCTTAGCAGTTGTGCATTGAATGGAGTAGCAGGTGCTTCAATAGAGTTGGACATTTAGAGCCTGCCAAGTGGTGCGTCGAAGAAGTTTCTCAAAATTCATGCACGGGAAGCACACACAAGTTAAAGCTGCTCGAAGGTCAAAGATCGTGCACGGGAAGCGAGTATGATAACAAGGGCAAGTTGGGATGTCGAAGAATCATTTGTGAAAGTCACACATGCAAATTAGTGTAAAAATCAATGTCTCACCACGTTTGTTTGGTAATAAGGTCTGCACAAAATTTAAACAAAAAAATTGATTAATATTTTTGACAAAAAAATTTGATCAAAATATGATAAGATTTAGGGACAATTTCGAGTAAAATTTTAAACAAGATTCAAGTAAAATTCAATAAAAATATAGGTAGAATTTGAACGAGATTTTAAAAAAGATTTGATTAGGGATTTTTAAAAAAAGATTTGATTAAGATTTTGCCATTTAGAAAAAATGATAACTTTGAATCCTACAGAATCTAAAACCCCTTTTCACCATAATTTTTTTTACCTTTAAAGGCTATTTGGTATCCTAATTTATTCAGGATTTATGCAAAATTTTTTCCGGAATCCTATTAAATCACAAAAATGACATTAAGAATCTTAAATTCCATTTTCACCTTCATGCGTCAATGGTCCTGCTGATTTTGAGTTCTCCAACAAGCTTCTGTCTTTGACTTCCTCACTTTTTTAATATTAATCATTTTTTTTTAAATTTTTGTGCAATTCTTGGTGCTAAACAATCATTGTTAGACAGCAATTTCTACATCGATTTGCATGCAGACTTCCTATGCATGTTCTTGGATATTTCAATTTTGCCCCGATCAGCATGCGTCCCCCCTCACATGAACCTTGACTATATAAGTTGCCTTGATTTGCACCTATGCTTCTAGTGCACAAATTGAGACACTTCGTGGATGCACGATTTGGCGTGCCCTATGCAAGTTCACCTTTGCTTATGCATCTACTTCTTCGTCCAGCATGCACATACATATGCAAATGTTAGTTAGACTAATCGACACTTGTAGCATGGCTAAGGTACTTTAGACCTATATGTTGATTGAATGGTCTTACTCCCTTATATTTTCCTTTTTCCCTGCATAAAAAAAATTTGAATCCATGCCTTTCTGTATTGATTATATAAACGTTTAGGAAACAATATTTATCGTGTGGTGTTTTGGTGTATGCTTTTGATGTTCAGCATAATTTTAATTGGTGAGTCATCTTGTTGAATAAGTAGAAAGTTAGAACAATAGTGAAATTATTTAGAAGTTAGAGGACTTAGATTTAGTAGAATATAATCTTAGTATATAATATGCAATTATTTGATTTTATATTAATAATTATTAACTAATATTATTAGAAGATGAAATGATATTTATATGTAATATCTTAAGTAGACCATCCAGAAGAATGAGGATGCAACTTTTAAAGTTAAGGCTGTATGATTAAAATGTAAAAACTTGCATAGGAGGATATGTTGAAGATTTAAAGATATATTTAATAAAACTATGCTCAGGTTGGTGATGTTTGGATTTGACTGTTGAAAAGAAAAAAAATGATAACTAAGTTGTTCTTGATAAAAAAATGATGATGTTAAGATAGATGTGTGGCAAAACAAAACTAGAAAGGATAAATTATGCAAAGATTGTATTAAAGAAAACTTTGATATGATATTTATTGAAGTTAAGATTATTGTAAATAGACTTAGATTGTTTGGACGTCTACAACTAAGAGTAGAAAATGCATGCATTAGATTGGTACATAAGTTTGTTAAAGTATTATGAAGGAGAATAGGTAGATCTTAAGCAAAGTTGATGTAAGTTATTCAAAATGCTTTGCGAAGAATAGTTTTAGTAACTCTAGTAGTACTGGAAAATGATTATTTCAATAATTATGATGAGAAGTTGGTAGCTGCTGCTGATCATAATAATGATAACTGATCAATCACACATTTCTTTCATGTTAATTTTTATAAGTAACATCTCAATTTAATTTTAATTGTTACAGAAGAACATACAGCCGGAACTCCATATTCGATTTCCGCAAGGCTTAAAGAATTATCCGATTGGCTCCTCAAGGTCATTGCAGCAGGTAACTTGGAAGCCATTTTTCCAGCTGCAACACGTGAATATGCACCATCAGTTGAGGAGTTGTGGAATACTTCTGCTATTCAAATGACATATAAAAGGATATCTGAACTACAGTCATTTCCTGGTGTTGCTTGTTACTTCTTAGATCGGGTATGCTTACCTTGTTATTCTTAGTAATCACTTCTCCATTCTCGTAAAACGTTATGGACAGGCATCACTTATCAAATTCTGTTTTTTGTGTAGTTTCCTACACTAATATTCTATCTTGTCATGGTTTGTTTTGTAAAATAGTGTAGTTTCCGAGTTTTAGATAACTTTTCAGTGTTCTTAATGTTTGCATTACTACTGAAGTATGCTGTGACTGATTATATTTATTGTGATATTATTTATATTTCTGGCTAATCAATTTGTATTTACATTGGGTATTGGAACTTCTAGGAGATTTCTAACTTCGTTCTTTGAACTTAGACGGATGAAATCAAGTAGCTAGTCTGAAAAGGCATTTAATGCATCATCTTTTTTGATCAATAATGGTAAGTTAGGTCTTTGGAGCCATATTATAGTAATATTTGATTCTGCAAATTTAGCCTGGCAAGAAACAAGAATTGTTTAAAAAATTTTGGTTCAATCTTGTGCTTTTATTGGCTTTCAAATTTATATTACTTTTGATCCAAACCAATTAAGAGTTGTAAAATCATGTCTGCACAGGCTGGTCTCTTGCCAGTAAGAGATTATTGGAAAATCCATACAAGTTGTTTCATATACAGCAAAGGTATAATAGAATTTTGTATTTCCCTGTTGTCTCGTCAAATAGGATACTGCAAATGTTAGCAGCAATGAAAGCGAATGATGATCAGCCTACGCTTAAGATCATGTTGATTCAACAGAAATGTCTAAGGATTGTTGAATCCCAGTTAATTATGTTTAATGTTTATGTGGTAGGAAGTGGAAGAAAGTAGGATCCTATGCGTGGAACTCATCTTCATAAAAATAAGAATTGAGTCTCAATTAGAAGAGCTCCACATACCTTCAATTTTGTTGTGCATGTAATAATAATAATAGTAATACTACACTGCTACTGATAGTAATTTCAATAATTATAATTATTATTAAAATAATAATAATAATAAATAATAATATGAAATTGATAGGCAAATTACTTAACAGTAGAATGTACATTTTTTTATTGAAAAGGAGGGAAACCCCTTCTCATCATTAAAATAAAAAAAAATGTAAAATTACATGAAAATAGAGACAAATAGGTACAAAGGAAAATGTCACCATGCAACTAAGCAGCCAATTAAATATTTGCATGATTGTTCATAAAAAATAGGCATATTTTAGCCAGGTAGTCTTGTCTTCTTTAAAAAAAAAAAAACCACTTTCTTGCTAAATATTCTACTGTTGAGAGGAAGAAATTGTTTCAATTGTTTTTTGGAATATTTCTTTATTTAGGCGTCTCTTCAATTAGAAAAAATCATTTTCAGTTGTGTCCACAGGAACAAAAATTCCAGAAACATAAATACAGAGTGCACCCTTCTCCAAATATTAGAGATAAAGCTACAATTAAAGAAGATGTGTAAGTCACCCTTCGGTTGAGAATTACACATCATACAAGTTGTAGAGAGCTATGCTCACATTTGTTACATAAACTTTTTTAGTATCTTTACCCATAAATATGATCTAACCGAAGGTCACAACATTCAAGGGAACTAAAACGTTCTAAATCTGGTGTGTGTACCTCTATTCATGAAAAAAGTATACAAATAATTAACATTAAAGAGGCCATCAGAGGAAAACTTCTACTTAGGAGTGATACTTAGAGTTAAAGTATGGATCTTAACATTAGAGCAAAGATTAAAAACTTCTTTGTATTGGTAATGAGAATAAAATGTTAACATTGAAGAGACCATTAGAGGAAATCATCCACTTTGGAGCATCATAATTAGAGGTAAACAAGATTCTCTTCACATTAGAGTAAATATTAAAAACTTATTTATGAAAGCAATGAGAATAATAAATTTCTATTGAATGTGCAAGCTATTAGTGGAGATAAATTGGTCTAACTGGTTAATTTATGTTCTAGGAAAATTGGGCAATGTGAGGATAGATATAAGCTAAAGTTTTATTATGATTTCATTTATCCTTCCAAAATTTGACATATTTATCCTTCCAAAATTTGGCATATTACCTATCGGGGAAGAAATGTGAAGTTTTTTTTTTTTTTTTTTTAAATAAAAAGAGAGTAATGAGAGCCTTTCTCCATTCTAAAATCTTGATAAGTATTTGCAAGATATTTTCTTTGCGATAATGGAATCGACCAATGAATTAGATTCCTTTTGGATCGATTTCAAGATCTAGTTAGAAAGTAAGGAGATATTCCTGACACATGGCCACAAAAGCCAAGCCCTCTAGATTTTTTCAGCCTAGAAATATTATTCAAATTTATCAAGTCCCACATCATTACCTTTAAAAAAAAAACTTCTAATATGGGCCGCTTTATTTATTTATTTATTTTTATATGTGCCACTTTATTGATCACTCATTTAGGGACCCAAAATTATGAGAAATAGTACAATGGAACATAAGTTAACACGGTTGATCATGACAAACCAACATCCTCTATATAGAAATTTGACTTTGGTGTCAAAATACCCATTATAAAACTTTAGAGCAAGGAGGAAGGCTCAACTAGTTAAGAAAAAAGAGAATAACAAGTGCAACCAATGACTTTATCAATAGAGCCACCATTATCCTTTGACTTTCCAAATAATTCAATGAAGATTTATGAAAGTTGATTTTAAGGCAAGGAACATCTTTAAACAACAAGCCTTTATCGACTATCTGGGGTTGGCTATATGAATCTTTTTTCTCAATTGTGTCTTGTTTAGAGTCAAATTCTCATTTAAATCTAATAAAGAAAAGTTATTTCTAATATTTTTTAACCATGTCTTTTTAGGTTGATTACTACCTTTTTTAACATAAACCAAATCTAATACATCTACTTTCCTAACCTAGTCATTGGAAGGTTGCCGTTTTATGTGACCAAACCATCTAAGACGACTCTCTCTATAATCTTATTTTTCACTAGAGCTGCTCCAACATTTTCACGTATATGCTCATTTTATATCTTGTCTCTAAGAGTAAAACCACTCATCCACCTGAGGTGCATCATTTATTATTATGCTTCTCTTTTAATGGCCAACATTTTGCACCTATAAAACATTGTAGGTCTCAGCACCATCTTATAGAATTTTCCCTTAAGTTTGAGGGGGACTTTTCCATTGCAGGTCTCAGCACCATCTTTTTTAGTATCTTTACCTATAAAGCATTGCAGGTCTCAGCCATCCGGAAAGGCCTTTTGTTTACAGTACTGTCATCTCTTCTACTTGAAGAAGAAGATAAAGGATATGAAGCATGGCTGCTTGGAAGTGGATTTTGTTTTGGAAGCTCTTTTTTATTCTTTTGCTTAGCTTCATTGATTTTCCTTTGTAATTCAGCCATTTGTGATGAGGTTATCTTCGGGCATACTTCAATTCCATGACAACTAATCTTCAACAAATGAGCTTTCATTCTATAATATGATTCTTTATATGTGACATTACAGTAATTGCATTTGAATGGAATATTGCCACCCTCTTCTGGCGTATACCTATTTTTGTCACATAACCCCACAGAGGTTTGTTATCTTCAATATTGATCTCTGATGGACCATTATCCAACCCAATTCCTACGCCACTAGAGCTTATTATCCTAAGAAGGATCGACACAAATTAAATCACATGAATTTGAAACATGAAAATTTTTAAGTAAAAGCGTATATATGTCGCAGATATGCCGAGGGTCCAAGGGGGAGCTGCCCCTTGGCGGGGTTTGACCTACCTCTCTCTCTCTATCTCTCTCTCTTTCTATCTATCTATCTATCTTATCTCATTCCTTCCCCTTCTTACTCCAAACTCCCACTCTGCCCCTCTCCTATTCTCTCTCTCTATCTTTCTTATCTCTTTCCTTCCCCTTCTTACTCCGAACTCCCACTTTGTCCCTCTCTCGTATTCTCTACCCATCTCTCTCTCTCTCTCTCTCTCTCTCTCTTACAAATTTTTATTGTAAGAGTAATTTTAAAGCTTTTTTTAGCTTCTCGGTGCCGCCTGGTACCATTTGGTACCCCTCGGTACCGAGTGGTACCGAGCATTGTACTGAGTGTTGCGAAGAGGTACTGACCAATACCGAGCGGTACCGAGTTCCGGTACCGAGCGGTACCGAGTTCCGGTATTGAGTTGCGATACCGAGCGGTACTGAGTTCCATTATCGAGCGGTACCGAGTTCCATTATCGAGTAGTACCAAGCCTATGATGAAGAAAATGAACCTTCACCGCTTGCGTCGCCTTCACTTTTCGCGTAGTCGAGCCGCTCTATCGACAAAGGGTGATCCTGTCGGCTTTAATGCTTGCGTCGTCGAGCCTCTTCGTCGACAAAGGATGATCTTGTTCGCTTCTATGCTCGTGTCGTCGAGCCGCTCCTTCAACTACTACGAAGAAGACGAACGCCTGTGCAGAAACGAAAACCTAGTTCGTGGAAATGTTTAAGCCACATAAATGAAAAGGTATATCAAGCGGGTAGCCGAAATTAATAGGGCAAATTGTTGCTTCGTTTTTTTTTTAAAACAGGACATGCATATCCGATGCGTGTGTTATGTCAAATCTAAATAATATTTTAATTGGACACGGCAAAGCCGTATCCGACACGTATCTTTGTCGTATCGGAGGCGTATCCGTATCCGACGTGTGTCCAATACAACATACCTCGTAAATAGGAGTATTGGTGCTACACACCTGGAGTATAGTCATCCAATAAAAATTCATCTCATCAACTATAAGATCATCATATGAGCTTTATTAATAATAAGGGATGAGCAAACTATCACTACTTAGTTATTATCTAATCTCCAACCTTTAAGTTATATGACAAATTCAGAAGTATTTTTCTTGCAATTTATATCCATTACTAACAAGTAGGGATGTAAATCACAAGTATAAATTTATCAAATATCAAATGTTAAAAAATATACTAACCAATAATATATTAAAGTTAGGCATTTGCAAATGAATCATCCACTCTATCCAAATTAAATTTACATATCACAATGTCATATCAATTGATGCCATCATCACATGGTCCGTACAAAAAAACATCAATTTTAAAGTTGGAGGTCAATCAATCAATAGTATACCCCTTTATTCACATATAAGGATGGTTAGATGGACTTGCACGATGCCATTTTCTCTCCTTTTAGTCGTGTTTGCACGTATCATGATAGAATCATGTTTCCTCAAACAACTGCTAAGGACTAACACCATCACATATGATGGCTTCTTGATTTTCAATGTGAAGCGTTTATTAGTTGTCTCTTAATTCTCATGAGCAATATGAAAATGTCAAGGATCCTCATAACTAAATAACAACAGTTTTGAACTCTACGTATCAATAAAGAATGTACAATTAGAAACTTGGTTTCTTCACTAGTTTCCGATTCACTGATTGTTAATTCATCACATACTATAAACTCACTGACTATTAATGTACCATCTATCATATGAAAACATATCTCATGGTGCTAATACTCGTATTGGAGATCAAACATTAATATGTTGCATTTATCTTATCTTATACAATAATATACAATCATAATATGGAACTTATATCTTCCTTGTAAGGTTATCATCTCAATGTTATCCTCTTCATGCAACTTACATCCTCTCTCTCTCATATATGAAGTTAATGTTTAATTAAACAAATTAATTATATATAAAAATAGTATAATATATATAATAATATTAATTATACAATAACCTTCACTGTTATGCACAAAGTCCTAGAGATTTACCCAAAGATATGGCATTTACTCTCCATAGATAAAACCATTTTGCACTTAGAAATGTACCAAGATCCATGTTTTTAAATATAAAACTTTTTAACTAGACCAACTTCGTCTTCCATCTTCATATCATCATCATGAGATAATAGGGTATTGTTGGATTCATCCATCACCATCACTCCAGCCATCGATTGCCTTTTTTTTGGCCATCAGTCATGTCCATACTACTATCCTGCTAGTGTCTGTAGTCAATCACCCCTAAATCCCTCCTCGCCACATTCTTCCTCCACAGGGACACATGGATCTGTGATGCTAATGTAGTCAGCACAGGCAACACACGTCCCTCTGATTTTGCTAACTTGTTGGGAGTTTTCTTGCTGACTCTGGACGGATTCTAGCAAACCCACCATCTCCAGATTCTATTTCTTTTCCAAATGCAGATTAATAATTAGAAAATCTTCAGGTATGAGGAAACCACTTAAGAGTTAAACATAGAAGTAATCCCTATCTCAGCACATGTAGCTTCTCACTTCAATTTTGATCTTCTAATGCTCATTCATATTTTCTTGAAGCTTCCATATTTCTATTTCAAACTCTTGGCAACCATCATGGTAGATATCAGGTTATTAGGATTCTACAACTAGCACTTATTGTTGATAAAAGTTTGATAAAATAGTTAAGTTGATTTCCCAGAATTAATTGATTCAATTGCATTTATCTTATAGCATGCAACTTTAGGGTATCGCATTTACCTAGACTATTCTGATTTAGCATAATAAACCTGGGATATTGCTTTCATTTTTTCTTGTTTTTTTGGGTTTTTCCTGTTGGCCTTTATTCCTGAAGCGCATGGCTTGTTGTTGAAGTAATTAAGGTTATATATTATGTAGTTTTCTTACTGTTTAAGTCACGGGCTAAAAATAATTTAAAACGATCAATTAAGTTTCCTTTCTATTTTTTTTTTTTTCTGTAGCCCGTAGAGTTTTAGTATTGTGGTTTATTTACGGCATCATGGTGGTCATTTTGGTGATATCGGAGCTGCATCTTTCTTTTCTATGCCTTGCTTTTTGAGCTAACTGCTGCATTTGAAAATTCAGCAAGGAATGATTTCATTTACCTTTATTTCTAACTTGATTTTAGATTATGAATGCCATCGGTGAATTTCTTTATCTTGATCAGTGCAGTTAAGATGAGTTCATTTAATAGACAATCTGGAACTCGTTTTTTCAAGTTTACTTTAAATTTATACCATTTATATAGTATAAGATTGCTTCAGTTTCATTTGGTTCTCATCTTTCAGGCATTGACATTCAAGACCATTCTGAAGCTTTACCGTATTGTATTACCTTTTTGTAATTGAACTTAGCTTGACTCTTCCATTTTTAATGAATGGATTCAAGTATTTTATTTTTAGTTATCAGTGGGGTATATATTAGGATTTCCTGAAATTCTTGGCTCCAATAGGACGTCAGATAGTTTCCTGGTGCTATAACTATAATATTAATTTTTGGTCAAAATATGTTCTCATCCATTGATTTTAAGGTAAGGTTCATCCCATGCGTTCCATGTTTGAGGAATGCGTTTTGAGAAGCTTTCGTGTTTAAAATTGTCTAAATAACTTTTACTTCCCTTTTTCACCTGAATGTGCTGTAGCCTGTTGGGAATTATAATATGTTTTGGCAGAAACTATCTAGAAAGTTCATATTTTTGGGATGACCTGATTTTAAACGCTAACTTTTAGTTAATTTTTAAACTCGTATTGTCATTACTTGACAGTTTTTGGACCTATGAACTAAGATGGATTTTAATTTTGGGCATGTAACTTTGATGCTAAAACAAAATGGATTAATAGGTAATTTACTCTTTTGATTTAGCTCTGTTGACAGCATTGATTTTATACTGAAATCAGCATCTTCTATTATCTTTTTCGAAGGATCTTGTAACTCCGGGAAGGATTGTTCTTAATTTTGTTTTTTATTTTGATATTATCCAACACTTTTCCAGGTGGTTGAAATATCTAGGATTGACTACGAGCCTTCTAAATTGGAGATCCTCTATGCTGAGGGAATGGCGTCAACAAATGGATTAGCTTGTATGGAATTCTTTTACCCCCAGTCAGACTTCGGTGGAACTGACCTTTCTGAGCCGGATACACAATTGAGGTAGGCACTGTGTAGACCAAGTGATTAGTGCCTAACAGGGCCTTAACTATAATACCTCTTTTTAACATGTGAGGTATGCTCTATAATAAATGCCTGTGATGAGCTTGAATGCAGTAGCATGTCATCCCTGTCAAATTTGATAGAACCTTTTTCACCATGAATATTACAAAGTTGTTTTCTCTTTTCTAAAATGAAAACTAGGAATCCTTTTTAATGGAGCTTACATGGAACTTTCTTTCTTATTCAAAATTTGACAGCTTACGTTTAATTTTGTTATTTTCAGTCGTCTCTGCTTGCCTTTTTAACCAAGTGTCGACGGTAAAATTATTAGGTGCGGACATCGAACGCCGTCCAGAACCCAATGAAAATACGCCACGTCATCCCTACTCGGTACCGTGACTCAGTACTACTCGGTATTGGATGACGTGGCTTCACCTGATTGGCCTCTGAACGGTAAGATGTGTCTGGTGTCTGCATAGAATAATCTCTCAGTGCCGACGAGGTTATTTTTGAAGCATTGCAACCCAACCATGTAAATTTTGATGGATAGGGAATCCTCTACTCATTCATTATGACCAGCATTTCCTAACCAGCATGCATTGCAGGTATCAACTTATGAGGCTTCATACTAAAGGCTTGGGGGAGAATTTAAAGTGGCTGGATATGTTTGAGGATGTGCAGCTCGTCGTCTTCTGTGTCGCCCTGAGCGACTATGATGAAGTGTATGAGAATGCAGATGGAGAAATTTCAAACAAGATGATGGAGGACAAGAAACTATTTGAGAGCGTCGCATCTCATCCTACTTTTCAGGAAATGGACTTTCTTCTCATACTAAACAAATTTGATCAGCTCGAGCAGATGATCGAAAATTCGCCGCTGACCACCTGCGATTGGTTCGATGACTTCGAACCAGTGGTTAGCCGATATCCCAACAAGAAAAACCGCAACGCCAATAATTGCGCCACATTAGCTCAGACGGCCTTCCACTATATAGCCATGAAGTTCAAGAGGCTCTTCTATTCACTTACCAGAAGGAAGCTATATGTGACTTTCACCAATGGCTTGGACTCAGATTCCGCTGACTCTGCTTTTAGGTATGCAAGAGAGATTCTTAAGTGGAAGGAAGAGATACCAGCTCCAAATGACGACACTTGCACCACTGATATATATAGCACGGATCCAAGCTCCTATTCTCATTGATCTCTTTTGGAGCAAATGAAAGAGTCTGTATATAGGCTTCCCCTTCCTTCAGGTATTTTTATGTATTTTATTTTATTTTTTTTAATTTTGATTTGTTCTAGTTTTATTTGTATAAATGTGATTCACGTTTGGTATGAATGATGTAGATTGAAAATGAGGCCAGGATTAGTCAGTGAAAGTAGCTTTGATTTTTAGAAGGGGTTTCAGTGCTTTTTAATGATGGTTTACTGTGTTGAAATATGGTAGTTTTACTATTATAAGTGTAGCTGTTGGTTGGGAATTTTGGCTATTAAGCAAGAGCTCTTAGGTTCGAAACTTATGAGAATTTTCATGCGATTCTTGACTTTACTAAAGTTTCGTTTGTAACGGCTTTTTACTACTTGAAATAGCCTTCTAGCACCGAAGTTTTAATTTTTATACTAAGAAGTTGCTTCTAGAAGCAGTAAGAAAGTCGTCCCCAATAAAGCCTAAGGCGTTTGCCTCATCAAGCTAACGTCAGATGCAAATCTCATGACAGTTTATTTTCAAAATTATATTGAGGTTGGCTTTGATGCGAGGCTCTTCTTGTGTAATACAAAATGATGATTAAATTGTAATGCTAACTGAATCTGTTTATGTTCTTCAGCAGAATATCATATAGGTTGGAGGGATTTTTGGTTAGTATTTTGCTCCATATTGTTGTATTGATGCCAAGAAAGAATTGCGTTAGAATATACTAATATAATTCATATCAATATGAGCTAAAGCTCAGTGCTACAACGATGATGCTCAAGATAAATTTAGGCTTTAAGAGCATATGACTTCTAATAAATCAATGTGGTAGAGTGGACTCTAAGCTCATAATATTTGATGATATTTTTATTTGAGGAATGATAATTTTATGATTTTTTTTTAATTTTTTTGAGAAGTATAAAAATTATATATATATTAGGGGTGCAAACGAGTTGAGTCGAGCTCGAGCTTCTGTGTCGTCCGTGAATCCCGCTCGTTGTCTCGAGCTACATAGACCTTTGTCGATCGTCGTCTTGTCATTGAAGCTGCAAATCCTACTTGTTTGTGAATACTGCTTGTCGTCCCAAGCTACGTGGACCTCCGTCGATCATCGTCTTGTCATCGAAGCTACAAACCCCGCTTGTAGTCCCGAGTTACGTTGACCTCTGTTGACCGCCTGCGAATCCCACTCCTGCTCCCGTTTGCGAATTGAAGCCCGCTCCCGCCTGCGAATCAAATCTTACTCCTGCTACGCGAGCTACTCGACGAGCTCTAGATGAATGATAGAAATGAATTATAAGAGTGATATATTTGATATTAAAGTTGTATGTGAATGATAGGCATGTAATATTAATGTTTTGAGTATTAAATATATAAATAGTATAAAATAAAATGACATGTATGTAAATCCCCAAAAATTTATAAAAATAATATCTTTACATATTCACTGTTAAGCTCAATGAGCTTGCTAAGAACTGTTCCATTTAAAAATTAAAACAAAAACGCTTTTCATATCTCATCCTCATAATTGTCTTATTATCGCCGTCTTTGTCGGTATGACAAAATTAATTAAATTATATTAAACAAATAGGGCCAAATTTGATAAGATATTGATAAATAGTAAATATAAATTATGATTTTTAAGATATGCATTAGTTGAATGGACGGCTTACAACGACAAAGTAGCAATTTTTTTGTATTAATGAAATTAGACAAAACACCCTTGGATATAATTGCAGATGGAAAACGCAAATATGAATTGTATTTTCAGCAGTGAAAATGTAAAATTAAACTGCATTTTCAGAAAAAAAGTGCAATTTAATTTTGTTTTTTTCATTTTAATTAAAAAAGAAAATTAATTTTATATTTTTTTCTTATATATATCCATTTGCAAAGCATCTTTATCTCTTATCCGCATCCAAATATAAAGAATTGAAGATGGAGTTATTCGCTTGGCTTGTAGTGGTCGCCGTCTGCACTTTCGCGCTCCAGGTATTCTTTCTCGATTTTCTCTCCACTGTGACAGATCAAACCGAGCCGATCTCTCTCTCTGCACAAGAATGGATCTCAGCGATTCGATCGTGCACCAAACGAGCTTCTCTTTGCAGTTCGCGAAGCTCGTCGGCTCGTCCCTCGCCAGCGACTCCAACCTCGTCTTTTCACCGATCTCGATTCACGCCGCCCTTGCTCTCGTCGCTGCCGGATCGAAAGGCGAAACCCAGAAGCAGATCGTCTCTGTTCTTCGCTCGGGCTGTCCTGCTGATCTGAGCCTTCTCTCCTCCCATATTGCGGACATCGTCTTAGCGGACGGGTCTTCTTTGGGTGGACCTAGACTGACCTTTGCTAATGGCGTCTGGGTCGACGCATCGATTTCGCTCAAATCAACGTTCAAGGAAGTGATTACTTCTGCTTACAAGGCCGAGACCAAAGCTCTCGATTTCCAGGCGAAGGTTGGTTGTTGTCGTTATTAATCTCATGAATGCATATTTCATCGCTCATGCATGCCAAAATGGAGTGATATGTGCTGATTACTAACTAGCTTGGGATATCAATGCTCTGTTATCTTGGGTTAGTGAGTGAGCGCAAATTTTGTAGTTGTAATATTTCCCATCTGAAAATCTTCTTAACAATCTTAATCTTTATTTGTGTCTGGCTGTTTGATGTCACGATCATTAGTTAAGGAAGAGATTATCATTTATGTAAAATTATTAGCTCAATATATTTAATCAAATGGGTAAGATCGCCAATAGTAGAAGAAAACCCTCGTTCCCCTATGGGCTTGAGGGCTTGCCCCAGGCCCCTAACGGTTGATCTGCTCTGGGAAGCTGTTTTCTTAATATGAAAATTTTCATCTTAGACATTTCAGGAAGCTTTATGGGATGCCCTATCTACTTGAATCAGTAGGGAATAGGCTTGTTGCATGCTACAATATCTTCGGTGATAGAGTAAGAGAGTTTAACGTCTTCGCATTGCACAGAGATCTAGTATACATACTGATGAGAGAAAAGTCGTAAGATATACTATAGTTTAATTATGTCTTGGCCCCTCAAATAAAAAGCATCATTAAGTATCATGTGTTTAGAGTCCACTCAACCACATTGATCCATTATGGGAATCGTCTGCTCTTGAATCTTGTTCAACCAAGGCGGAATAGTGAATACCATTATGAGCTATAAATCACATGAATCATTTATCTCTTCTTTCCTAACAAGAGCTATCAGAGAAAAGTCATAAGAGATAGTAGAGTTTTTATGTGAAAAGTCCAGAAAGGGGAGAAGATGAAATGATTTCAAAAGTATTTGTCATCACCTATAAATGATATTCTTTGTCATGATTGAGAAGGTGTTGATATAATATAATAGGCATACGTTGTACTAGACAAATTCCATGATGAAAGTTTAAAGAGCCCTATGGTTGTGAAATAAGAGTTGTTTTCAAGCGATCATTTGTAAGTTTATAATGTTGGTCTTACTCCAGTAGAATAGGGTAGTTTAGTGATTCATTGTAAGTTTATAGGTTACTTTGTTTACTAGGTTCTTGTGGGTCATTTATTGCTCTATTTATTCCTTCTTAAGTGGAACTAGTGTATTTAATGATCCTCAAATTACCTAGTAATCATATTTTATTGTTGTTTTTATAGCTTCTTTAAAGATATACTGCTGTTATCAATATCTGATAAGGGTGATGGGGACACCCAAAGTTTAGAACCATGTTGCCAAAACCTGAGCTTATTAGATGATTTAAAAGTTTATGATCTCTTGATAGTCAAACCAGATGATTAAATTAACTCTGAAAAGGAAGATAAAAATAGTGAAACCCAATTCGTTCCATCCCATTACAAAAATAGAGGAAAACTTCACGAAGGCAAAATTAAAGTAACTCGAAAAAGCCTGATCAAAGTTTGCTAGACCTAAGGAGCTTATGATTTACGTGCTCTACTCTTGATACCTCACCGCATGTAAGTTCTCTTTGAAATCAGGATCAAGATATCAAAGAAATACCTACAAATTTATTGATCAGGTAAATTCAACTTGACTCAACGCCATCAGTTTCATCAATTAATATTCTCCGAGTTTTCTTTGTAATCTAAGAAGATTTCTAGTAATTCTTTTCATAAGGATAATACCTTGTGTGCCCAACCATCATGAGGCCTAAAAAATATGGCAAACCCAACGCTGTTCATACCTCTCATTAGTAATTAAGATAGAGGCTCAGATGAATCATAAATACCTTTTAGTAGGGCTTTTACCAAACTCATGTCCAACATAATTTAAGGTATCAAAAAGATAAATTCATGGTGTCCCTCACATCAACAACATCAAGCCTTTATCCCACTACATGGGTTTGGGTACATGAATTCTTTTTCTCCATTGTGTCCTATTAAGAGTTAAATTCTCATTTCAATCTAATAAAGAAATCTCATTTCTAATATTTTCTAACTTTCAGGTCTACCTCTACCTTTCTTAATATAAGTCAAATCTAATGCATCTACTCTCCTAACATGGTCATTGGAAGGCTACCGTTTTATGTGACCGAACCATCCAAGTTAACTCTCTCTAATCTTATTTTCCATTGGAGCTACTCCAACCTTATCACATATTCGTATTCTTTCTCTTAGAATAAATCCACTCATCCACCCAAGCATTCTCATCTTTGCAGCACAATATTATGCCTCTTATTTACTGGACAATAATTTTAATATATATATCGTGAGGCATAAGCCTTATGCTAGTGAGGCGAGGCGGGGCTCAACCAAGTTGAGGCGCAAGCCTCATAAAAAAAACTTGAGGCGTAAGCCTCAAGGCGCTTTTCACTGGAATTGCGCAAAGGCGGGCCTCAAGGCGAGCCTCATATTGCGCAATTTTAAACCATGATTTCACCATCTTTCTGAACAATAGATCTAAGATATTTAAAATGTGTACTCTTACTAATGACTTGATTTCCCAATCACAATCTCTCTACTAGATCTATTACCACTAAAATTACACTCCATGTATTCGGTTTTAGATCTACTTAAACGAAATCCTTTAGACTCTAAAGTTGACGTCCATAATTCAAGTTTTCCTTCAACTCCCTCACAAAAAAAAAAGAAAAAAAAGATACTCCTTTCTTGCTGTTTATACCATCAGCCATAACTTGTAGCAAAAATACTCGTCTATTTAATCCTTTGTTTTTTTCCATATTGGAATATCATCCACCTTGTGCCACTTTTCTTATCCATCTCGTAATTATGTTTCTTCCTGTGTCAAGCAAGTGATGATGAGTAATAGGCCTATTAAATTTCAAACATGACAAATGGGATTGATGATTAACAGGCATCAAAATCGGGTGCCAGATACTTTATTTGACATATTTTTCCAAAATTGAAGTTTTTCATATATTTATGCAACTCTGATATGATTTCTTACTATGAAACTGCTATTTTTTTCGCCAAAGGCTGAGGATGCCAGACAGGAAGTAAACTCCTGGGTTAAAAACAGAACTGGTGGCCTTATCAATGAGCTTCTTCCATCTAGATCTGTAGATGAAATGACTAGGCTTGTTCTTGGCAATGCACTGTATTTCAAAGGAGCCTGGGATCAAAGGTTTGATGCTTCTCAAACCAAAGACTCCGAGTTCTATCTACTTGATGGAAGCACCATTCAAGTTCCTTTCATGTCTACCAAAGAGAAACAGTATCTCTCTTCTTACAATGATTTTAAAGTCCTCGGGATACCTTATAAGCAAGGTGAGGATGAGAGACGATTCTCTATGTATATCTTCCTTCCAAATGCTCGCGACGGCCTTCGCAATCTGGCAGAAAAGCTGAGTACTGAATCAGAGTTCTTGAACCACCATATTCCTTGGGAGAAGGTTAAAATTGGGAAATTCAAAATTCCAAAATTCAAAATTTCATTCGGTTTCGAGGCATCCGAACTTCTTAAAACCTTGGGCTTGACCTCACCATTTGGTCAAGATGCAGATCTTAGGGAAATGGTGGATTCAGCTGTGGGAGGAAGTCTTTATGTCTCTTCAATTCATCACAAATCCTTTGTGGAGGTGAATGAGGAAGGAACTGAAGCAGCTGCTGCTACTGCTGCTGTAGTTAATATGCTGAAGAGTATAAGGCTATTTGAGCCCCTGGACTTCGTTGCTGATCACCCATTTCTTTTCGTGATCAGAGAAGACAAGACTGGAGTTGTCCTCTTCATTGGGCATCTGTTGAATCCTCGAACTGCAGTGTAAATACATGAGGGCCGACGCATTATTCCTCTCCCAGGTAAGTTTTTGTTGAACTAATTACTACGTTTACTTTTGAAAACTTTGGCTTCATGTGAGTAAAGTACTTTAAATAGCTTGAAATGATCAAAGTCTTTGAGTTAAAAGTATTGCCTGTTATGCTTTAATTGCTTGAAATTGCAGCTTCTTATTTTTCAACCATTTTTTTTTCTTCAAAGTGTTTCTGCTCTATCCTTGATTTAAGTTTTTGACTTGGACTGTGGGTGGGTTATACGATGTAATGTATGGAGATTTTTTTTTTTTTCTTTTTGGGAAGGGATATTTAAGTCAATTAAGGCAAATTCACACACATCACATATGTAAGATTCGAATTCAAAACCTCTTGATTGGTAGTCAATGCTTTTAATCAACATAGTGATGAGTTGCATGTGTATTGTATGGAGATGCTAGTTGCAGATGATGATCACCCTTTATGTGCTAGTGTCTGTGCTCTAGGGCCCACAAATGGTCATGCAATGCACGTAGGTCTTGATTTGGAGAGATTATTACGTGCGGAGTCCAAACAGGGAACCGTTCGGTTTTGTGATTGTGAACCGTAAAAGCATAATTATTGTTTACCACTGCGCTTTTATTTTTCACCATTGCGCTTTTACTGTGCTTTTATTGTTCGCAGTTACAAAACCGTTCGGACTACGCACGTAATTATCTCTCCTTGATTTGAGCATAGTAAAGTACAAAATAGTCATTAAATTTGTTAGAAGGCAATGAGTTTAGATCAAACATTGAATTGAACGGAAAAAAAATTCATAAAATTCTCATCACATAATTGAATTAAGGTAATAATGCTTGATAGCTCTCAGAAGGTTTAAGGAATTACGCTAACTTAGCCTAGTTTTCATTGGGATGTGGAATTTGATTGATTAATTTAGAGGCTGTTTGGGATAATATTTTATTTAATGGCTCCTTATAATTTTTTTGGCTACTTTTATTTTTTTATTTTTCGAGAATTTTTTTTTAATAAAATCTAGATTTTTTTTAAAATATTAAAAATATTGTCAGTTTTAAAAATAAATATCCTTGTCCATCACCCGTCTATTATTGCATTGTTGCCCTAATCTAGCTTGAGCTACAACAAACTTGAGCTATGCTCATCATTCAAAAAAGCGGCTCGAGCTTATAAAATGAGCTCGAGCTCAGCTCGTCCTGGCTCTAGATAAGCATTGACGAATGAAGACATGGCAAGACGGGTGACAAAATTCATTAAATTATATTAAACAAATAGGGCCAATTTGATAAGATACTGATAAATAGTAAATATAAATTATGATTTTTAAGATATGCATTAGTTCAATGGACGGCTTACAACGACAAAGCAGTAATTTTTTTGTATTAGTAAAATTAGACAAAACACCCTTGAATGTAATTGCTGTTGGAAAACGCAAATATAATTTGTATTTTCAGTAAAAATGAAAAATTTAACTGCATTTTCACAAAAAGTGCAATTTAATTTTGTATTTTCATCTTAAATAAAAAATGAAAATTATTTTATATTTTGGCATCCTTATCTCTCCTTGTTATTTTATAGTGGTCGCAGTCTCGCAGACTCGCAGTTGGCACTTTCGCGCTCCACGGATTCTCTCTCTATTTTCTCTCCTCTGTGACAGAGCAAACCGAGCGCGATCTCTCTTTCTGCTCAAACATGGATCTCAGGGAATCGATCGTGCATCAAACGAGCTTCTCTTTGCAGTTCGCGAAGCTGGTCGGCTCGTCCCTCGCCAGCGACTCCAACCTCGTCTTTTCACCGATCTCGATCCATACCGCCCTTGCTCTCGTCGCTGCCGGATCGAAAGGCGAAACCCAGAAGCAGATCCTCTCTGTTCTTCGCTCGGGCTCTGCTGCCGATCTGAGCCTTCTCTCCTCCCAGATTGCGGACATCGTCTTAGCGGACGGGTCTTCTTCGGGTGGACCTAGACTGACCTTCGCTAATGGCGTCTGGGTCGATGCATCGCTTTCGCTCAAATCCACGTTCAAGGAAGTGGTTACTTCTGCCTACAAGGCCGAGACCAAAGCTCTCGATTTCCAGGCGAAGGTTGGTTTATATCGTTATTATCCTCATGAATACATATTTCATCGCTCATACATGCCAAATTTGAGTGATATGTGCTGATTGCTAACTAGCTAGGGATATCAATGCTCTGTTATCTTGGGTTATTAGTGAGTAAGCGCAAAATTTGTAGTTGTAATATTTCCCATTTGAAAATCTTCTTCACAATCTTCATCTTTAATTGCGTCTGGCTGTTTGATGTCACGATCCTTAGTTAAGGAAGAGATTATCATTTATGTACAATTTGTAGCTCAATATATTTAATCAAATGGGTAAGATTGCCAATAGTAGAAGAAAAACCCTCGGTCCCCTATGGGCATGAGGGCCTGCCCCAACGGTTGACTTGCTCTGGGAAGCTCTATTCTTAATCTGGAAATTTTCATCTTTGACATTTCAGGCAGCTCTATCGGATGCCCTATCTACTTGAATTATTAGGGAATAGGCTTGTTGCATGCTAGAATATCTACGGTGATAGAGTAAAAGAGTTTAACTTCTTCGCATTGCACAGAGATCTAGTATACATACTGATGAGAGAAGAGTCGTAAGAGATACTAGAGTTTAATTATGTCATATCCCTTCAAATAGAAAGCATCATTAAGTATTATGTGTTTAAAGTCCACTCAACCACATTGGTCCATTATGAGCTATCAATCACATGAATCATTTATCTCTTCCTTCCTAACAAGAGCTATTAGAGAAAAGTCATAAGAGATAGTAGAGTTTTTATGTGAAAAGTGCTGAAAGGGGAGAACATTAAATGATTTCAATAGCATTCATCACCTATAAATGATGTTCTTTCTTGTGATTGAGTTGGTGTTGATATAATATAATAGGCATATGTTGTACAAGACAAATTCCATGATGAAAGTTTGAAGAGCCCTATGGTTGTGGCATAAGAGTTGTTTTCAAGAGATCATTTGTTGTATGTCTGATCTGACTCCTTTGAGGGGAGACAAGAGACCAAGAAATGCAATATAAATTTTGGTGTTGACGTCAAGAGTCAACTAGTTGGTGTCAGTAGTACGAATTGATCTTATGGGTAATGAAATGCATTTACATTGTTGGTGGCGCCATATAACGAAGTTAGAGAGCTGTGATGTAGCCAAGAGACAATGGTCAGAGGATCGTAGTTGAGCAATTATGGTCGGAGAAACATAGTTGGGTGATGGTCATTAGAGGATCATAGTTGTGCGACAATGGTCGGAGGATTGTTGAGTGATGGCGATCGAATGATCGTAGTCGAGCGACAACGGTCGAAGGATAGTTATCGAAACAATGGTCGTCAAAAGACCATAGTCAGACAGCGGTGGTCAAAGGACTGTTGGAGGGTGATAGTGATTAAACAATGTTGGTTGGATGGTGGTCCAACAACGGTGATTCGATGGTGGTATGACACTAGTGGTCGGATGGTGGTCATGTGGAGATGCTTAGGTGAGTTTTGGATTCTTATAGCCTTTGAGCACTCTTGGATCTCAAGTCAAGATCCTTCCATTTCATTTTTTGAGTGGGGATCTATTTATAGATTTTTTATAGTGTCATGCGTTATAAATATAGCCAAAATATTAACCACTTAAGTGCTTTAATTATGTCACAATCAAGCAATCTTGGGCTCGTTAGATTTGTCTATTCAAGACGCTCAATTTGACTATAAGCATGCAAGATTTGAAGATCTTTTTGTCATCTAATTAATATCCTAAAATTTTCAATTATGTTTCAAGTGTTTGATCTAGGCTCATTTGGACTCGAGTTAGATCAATTTTGGTGTCAATGGGTTCATCTTGTTGAGAAGTTGAATTTGACTATTAAGTTTATTGAAATATTAATTTGGATGATTTTAAATTTAATTCCATAAGTTTTAAATTCAAATATGTATTGAGATTCGTGTTCAATCCAAACAATTTTTTATGACGTTTCAAGACTTAAGCTTCTTGATATAATAGAATCCATTAAACGGTATAATCATTTGTTTTATATAGTGGATTTTCTAAGTAGTACTTCATGTTGATAATCATGTTAAATCATATGTGGCCTTCTTTCTTGCCTTTTCTTCTCTTCTGTTTGTGGTATCCATGATGTTGATTCTCTAACCTGAGTTGAACATGTGGTATTGGAGATTGGTTGGTGAGTGCTAGGGTTTGCATTATTTGAAAAAGGTGGGCATATATAAGCTGAGTTTAAGGAATAATGGTAAGGATAGTTTCATTTGTGGAAGTGTCAGATTGGAGATTTCTGATGCATGAAAGGTGGTTTTTTGCATTAACAAGAAAATGATTGCCTAAGATAGATGATAATGATTAGGGCAAATGGACCATATACGTCACTAGAATTGTCGTATTTGCAATTTGCTATTTAAGATGATTCCAAGGGTTTTTGCCTAAGTGAAATAGTTGAGTAGTTGTATGCAGCTAAAAGTATTGCAAACAAGTTATGTTCAAAGAGATGAGTGTTTTTTGGATAGCAAGAGTTTTTTGAATATCTGTGCATAGTTAACTAGATCTTACAATTTCTGGAAGTTTTATAAGCAGTTCAAAGATGAGGGTGGGCCATTATTCTCCTTGTGTCCTACAACATGTTTTGGTCATCTTTTGGTTTTGATGTTGTAAGAAAACATTACTTGATTTGAAAATATTATTTATTGAATCAACTAGGACAAAGAAAAATGAAAGGAGAACCTCAAAGACTCTCATATCAGAAGAAGGTGACAAAGACAGTTGAAGATGAGTAGTTGTACAAGAAAGTTCAAACTAAGAATGATCCAAAGAAGCAAAGTTATAAATGGAAAGAACATTTTGTGAAAGAAAATGTTTTCTAAAAGAAGAAACGACTGAGCTTGATATTAACTAAATGAATATCATAATTAACAATAATTTAAGAGATTTTTTTCCAATATTTGTGATGAATTTATGCAAACTCAGGAGAGTTTCTAATAAAAAATATGCAAAATTCGCAACTAAAGAAATAAATAAATAAGTAATTATAATATAGGATAGCCGATGGATTGGTGAGGTGACTATAGTGATCTCATAGATCAATGAGTTCGTAATGAGAGTAAGGAAAGGAATAAAAGAAAGAGTTGGATTGGCTGCAACTAGCTTGAATTGGACCAAGTGGTAAGTGAAGCAGGAGGGGAGAACTGGCAGAGGCATTGGGTCAGAGGAATTCACTATGGAGCTTGGGCGAACAACTAGGGTAGGCACCAGCTGGATGGGAAGTTACTGGCAGATTTCTAGGGTCGTCTTCAAGTATTTTTAAGGAATTTTTTCTTTTTTGACTCTCACACAAATGAATAGATGTTATCCATTTCAAGCTTGTCTATTAATTTTTCAAAGATTGTCCTTGATAAACTTTTGGTAAGAACGTATGCAAGTTATTTACATGTGGATATGGCTGGAGTACTATTTAGACCGTTGTTCATTCGTTTATTTTTTTTTATAAAGTATCCGTCACCTTCAATATGCTTAGTATGATCATGTTGCACCCCATTATGTGCAATAGTGATGACATAAATTGTCAGAAGAAATATAATCACCAATTAGGCATTTATAGTAAGTCTTTGTACCTTTCACACTGGCAATCAAAATATTAAACTTGAGACAAATGCTTTGATTTTTTTGTTAGTTGAATTTTCTTGGCGCATAGAATAAACAATTTATTTTAATCTTGAGTAGGTTAAGCAGATATATAAACTTAGGTAAAAGAAGATTGATTTTCTCATAAAACTCATGTTCATTGAGTTGGGATTCTCCTTTTAAGAGTAAGTTTTTAAGAAGAAAAATTAATTTTCAAAGAATGTTATATTATATTTTAACATTTTTTAGTAATAAAGTAGTAAGGTTTGTATCCTTGTCAGTTAGGAGACCAGCTAATAAAAATACGATTTATGATTTTTTTGGTCAAATTTACTCATTTAGTGAAGGATGTGAACAAAGGCAGAACAGCCAAATTTTTTTAGGGGAATGGTGGATATATATTTGTGGGGTAGGTTTCAATGAGAGTTTGAGAAGTTTTTTTTTTAAATTTTAGGATCTTTGAAATGGTTAATGAGCAGGAAGAGCAATATCTGCCCGATAATACTTCGCTATATTGCTAGTGATCATAATGAATATTGCAATTTTCAGAAGGTACCTATTTTTTTGCTTTGCAATTCCATTTTGTTAAGGAGTATTGATACAATAATTTTAGTGAATATTCCCTTTTTGAAGTAGATGGCCCCCAAGAATGGAATGAAAGTATTATCTTCCATTGTCAATCTTGAAGACTTGAATTTTGAAAATATGTTTATTTGTAATGGTAGGATTTTTTAAAGATGTGACAAGTCTTAGGTTTATCTTTCATTAAGAAAGTTTAAGTACTTATAGTGTAACTAATTGCAAATGATATGAATCAACTAGCCTTTAAGATATTGGTATCTTGAGATGGTGTCCAAATATCACTATGAAGACTAACAAAAGGCTGAGAGACATTATACGGTGACTTGGATATATGTTTCTGGTGTGTTTGGATATTTGACAAGTTTCAAATGGGATTGATGCATACATTTTATTAATCAAGAAGTGAAAAATTTTTAAGGTATATAAAGGGATGACTAAGATGGAGATGTCATAATATAATCTCACTCTCTTTGAGAGTAAAATATATATTGAGCATATTTTATTAACAATTGAATATTTTCTTCAGCATTTAGTCCATATCCTAGAATGCATACAGAGTAGGAAAATTTTAATAAGAGCTCATATTATTAGTGATTTTATTGGTAGATTAAATATTGCATAAAATTTTAAGAACTCATAGAATCAAATTTAGAACCATGAAACTAGCGAGGTTAGTCATCCTAAATATTTTCCTAGGACTTCATCAAAAAATTTTTTTAGTCTAAGAAATTTTTATATCATGTTGATATGAATCAATGCAATAGGGTAGTTTAGTGATTCATTTAAGTTTATAGGTTATTTTGTTTATTAGGTTCTTATGGGTTATTTATTGCTTTATTTATTCCTTCTTAAGTGGAACTGGGGTATTTGATGCACCGACACTTCTCCTCAAAGAGGTGTGTAGTGTCCGGCACCGTATCCGACACGACACTCGCCCCGACACGTTGCGGACACGCCGAAAATGTGTTCGATTAAAAAAATATTAACACGCGTATCTTAAATATTTTATGAATTTTTTTAACTATAATTTCTTGTATTTGACGGGATTTAAACTAAATTTCTTATTTCTTATCCACAACACCAAATCAACTTCTGCACTTAATACCCAATCATTGAATATTCTCATTTTAATTTCTTTTTTATAGTGAAGGTATTTTCATCTCCTCTCTCGGTGACTGATAAACGGCATCGTCGTTTGACTCTCGACATCCTAATACTAATCATTTTAAGGACAAATTCTACTTTGCGGACACGCCGAAAATGTGTTCGATTAAAAAAATATTAACACGCGTATCTTAAATATTTTATGAATTTTTTTTAACTATAATTTCTTGTATTTGACGGGATTTAAACTAAATTTCTTATTTCTTATCCACAACACCAAATCAACTTCTGCACTTAATACCCAATCATCGAATATTCTCATTTTAATTTCTTTTTTACAGTGAAGGTATTTTCATCTCCTCTCTCGGTGACTGATAAACGGCATCGTCATTTGACTCTCGACATCCTAATACTAATCATTTTAAGGACAAATTCTACTTAAATGACTTATTATTTTCAATTTGTTTTTAAAATTATACTTATCTTATATTTTTAATAACTGATGTGTCTCTTGTCCGTGTCGTGTCGTATCCGTGTCGCCGTGTCCGTGTTTGTGCATCATAGGTAATAAATGAAGAAGCTTTGGCTGCTCTTCCTCCCCTCCCTCAATGATTTCTTGAAGTCATGGGCATCCTTGAGTTCCTCAGCCCTTCCCCTGCAGTTAATCTATGGAGGTTTAAGGATCCTCAAATTGCCTAGTTATCATATTTTATTGTTGTTTTTATAGCTTCTTTAAAGATATACAACTGTTGTCAATATCTGACGAGGGTGATGGAGACACCCAAAGTTTAGAACCATGCTGCCAAAACTTGAGCATATTAGATGATTTAAAAGTTTATGATCAAATAGTCAAATCTGATGATTAGATTAACTCTTAAAAGGAAGATAAAAATAGTGAAACCCAATTCGATCAGTCCCATTACAAAAATAGAGGAAAACTTCACAAAGTCAAAATTAAAGCAACTCAAAAAAGCCTATCAAAGTTTGCTAGACCTAATGAGCTTATAATTTACGTGCTCTACTATTGATATCTCACTGCATGTAAGATCTCTTTGAAATCAGGATCAATATATCAAAAAAATACCTACAAATATATAGATAATGTAAATTCAAGTTGACTCAACACCATCAGTTTCATCAATAAATATTCTCCTACTTTTCTTTGTAATCTTAAGAAGATTTCTAGTTAATTCTATTCCTAAGACTAGTACCTTGTGTGCTAGCCATCACGAGGCCTAAAAAATGTAGCAAACCCAACGTTGTTCATACATCACATTAGTAATTAAGATAGACGCTCTCAAAAAGATAAATTCATGATGTCCCTCACAACAACAACAACATCAAGTTTTTATCCTACTACATAGGGTCGGCTACATGAATTCTTTTTCTTCATTGTGTCCTAATAAGAATTAAATTCTTATTTAAATCTAATAAAGAAAACTCATTTCTAATATTTTCTAATCAAGTCTTTTCACGTCTTCCTCTACTTTTCTTAATAAAAGTCGAATCTAATACATCTACTCTCTTAACCGGGTCATTGGAAGGCCACCGTTTTATGTGACCAAACCATCCAAGTTAACTCTCTCTAATCTTATTTGCCATTGGAGCTACTCTAACCTTTTCATGTATATACTCATTTCATTTTTTTCTCTTAGAGTAAAGCCACTGATCTACTTGAGCATTCTCATCTTTGCAACACTTAACTTAATATTATGCCTCTTTTTTACTGGACAACATTATGTGCCATAAAACATTGCAAGTCTCACCACCTCTTATATAAATTTCCTTTAAGTTTAATAGGCACTTCTCTATCACAGAACAAATCCGATGCATTTATCCACTTTAACTATCAAACTTGAATTCTACTAATAAATGGCTAATACCTTGTGTGCCCAACCATCACGAGGCCTAAAAAATATGGCAAACCCAATGATGTTCATACCTCACATTAGTAATTAAGATAGAAGCTCAGATGGATCATAAATACCTTTTAGTAGGGCTTTTTAAAATCTCATGTCCAACGTAATTTAAGCTGTCAAAAAGATAAATTCATAGTGTCCCTCACAACAACAACAACAACAACAACATCAAGCCTTTATCCCACTACATAGGGTCGGCTACATGAATTATTTTTCTTCATTGTGTCCTAATAAGAGTTAAATTCTCATTTAAATCTAATGAAGAAACATCATTTCTAATATTTTCTAACCAAGTCTTTTCAGGTCCTCTCCTAACTACGTCATTGGAAGGCCACCGTTTTATGTGGCCAAACCATCCAAGTTAACTCTCTCTAATCTTATTTGTCATTGGAGCAACTCCAACCTTTTCACGTATATGCTCATTTCATATTCTTTCTCTTAGAGTAAATCCACTCATCCACCTTAGCATTCTCATCTTTGCAACACTTAACTTAATATTATGCTTCTTTTTTACTGGAAAACATTCTGCGCTATAAAGCATTGCAAGTCTCACCATTATCTTATAGAAGTTTCCCTTAAGTTTGAGGGGTAATCCTCTATCACACAACAAGTCCGATGCATTCCTCCACTTTAACCATCCAACTTGAATTATATTAATAATATCCCATCTATTTCACCATCTCTTTGAACAATAGATCTAAGATATTTGAAACATGTACTCTTATTAATGACTTGATTGCTCAATCACAATCTCCCCACTAGATCTATTACTACTAAAATTACACTCTATGTATTCGGTTTTAGATCTACTTAAACAAAATCCTTTAGACTCTAAAATTGACCTCTATAATTCAAGTTTTCCTTCAACTCCCTCACAAAAAAAAAAAAAATACAGATTCTCCTTTCTAGCTGTTTATACCATCAGCCATAACTTGTAGCAAGAATACTCGTCTATTTAATCCATTGTTTTTTTTCCATATTGGAATATCATCCACCTTGTGCCACTTTTGTTATCCATGTCGTAATTATGTTTCTCCGTGTCAAGCAAGAGATGATGACTAATAGACCTGCTAAATTGCAAAGATGTCAAAAGCGGGCGGCAGATACGTTATTTGGCATCTTTTTTCCAAAATTGAAGTTTTTCATATATTTATGCAACTCTGATATGATTTAACTATTAAACTGCCATGTAGGCTGATGATGCCAGACAAGAAGTAAACTCCTGGGTTCAAATCAGAACTGGTGGCCTTATCAATGAGCTTCTTCCAACTGGATCTGTGGATGAAACGACTAGGCTTGTCCTCGGCAATGCACTGTATTTCAAAGGAGCCTGGGATAAAAGGTTTGATGCTTCTCAAACTAAAGACTCCGAGTTTTATCTACTTGATGGAAGCACCATTCAAGTTCCTTTCATGTCTACCAAAGAGAAGCAGTATCTCTCTGCTTACAATGATTTTAAAGTCCTCGGGATACCTTATAAGCAAGGTGAGGATGAGAGACGATTCTCTATGTATATCTTCCTTCCAGATGCTCGCGACGGCCTTTCCATTCTGACAGAAAAGCTGAGTTCTGAATCAGGGTTCTTGAACCACCATATTCCTTGGGAAAAGGTTACCATTGGGAAATTCAAAATTCCAAAATTCAAAATTTCATTCGGTTTCGAGGCGTCCAGACTTCTTAAAACCTTGGGCTTGACCTCACCATTTGGTCAAGATGCCGATCTAACTGAAATGGTGGATTCAGCTGTGGGAGGAAGGCTTTATGTCTCTTCAATTCATCACAAATCCTTTGTGGAGGTGAATGAGGAAGGAACTGAAGCAGCTGCTGCTACTGCTGCTGTAGTTATGCTAAGGAGTATAAGGCCAGTTGAGCCCCTGGACTTCGTCGCTGATCACCCATTTCTTTTTGTGATCAGAGAAGACAAGACTGGAGTTGTCCTCTTCATTGGGCATCTGTTGAATCCTCAAACTGCAGTGTAAATTACATGAGGGCCCATGCATTATACCCTCTCTCAGGTAAGTTTTTTGTTGAACTAATTACTGTGTTTACTTTTGAAAATTTTAGCTTTATGTGAGTAAAGTATTTTAAATAGCTTGAAATGATCGAAGTCCTTGAGTTAAAAGTATTGCCTGTTATGCTTTAATGGATTGAAATTGCAGCTTCTTATTTTTCAACCCTTTTTTTTTTCTTTGAAATGTTTTTTCTCTATTAAGTGTTTGACTTGGACGGTGGGTGGGTTACATGATGTAATGTATGGAGATTACTTCTTTTTGGGTAGGGGTATTTAGGTCAATTAAGATAAATTCACACACTTCATATATATACGACTCGAATTCAAAAACCTCTTGATTGATAGACAAAGCTCTTAATCAACAGACTAAGATGAGTTGTGCATGAACTGTATGGAGATGCTAGTTGCAAATGATGATTATCCTATATGTGCTATGTCTGTGCTCTAGGGCCCACCAATGGTCATGCAATGCAGGTAAGTCTTGATTTGGAGAGATTATTACGTGCGGAATTCAGACACAGAATTGTTCGATTTTGTGATTATGAATAGTAAAAGCGAAATTATTGTTTGTCACTTAAATTTTATTGTTCCCCATTATGTTTTTGCTAGGCTTTTATTGTTCATAGTTATAAAATTGAACTCGAACGGTTCTCTGTACCCGGACACTACATGTAATAATTATTCCTTAATTTGAAGATAATAAAGTACAAAACAGTCATTAAATTTGTTAGAATATAGGCAATGAGTTTAGATCAATAGATCAAACATTGAATTGAACGGAAAAAAAGTTCATAAAATTGTCATCGCATAATTGAATTAAGGTAATAATGGTTGATAGCTCTCAGAAGGTCCAAGGAAATTATGCTAACCTAGCCTAGTTTTCATTGGGATGAGGAATTTGATTGATTAATTTAGACTGTTTTCTCTGATGAATGCTTGAGAGCTGATGGAAGCAGTGCCTTCCCTTCACCTCATCCCTTATTTATAATCTCTCCGGCATAACTCCCCAACGCACCAAAATAATTGCTTGCATTCAATTCCACCGAAACACCGGAATTTTCGGATCAGGTCTGCGGTAACGACAAAATTAAATGGAAATTTGAGCTGGGAAATGTCGGCCATGCGTGAATGCGAGGGTGTGAGCGTTTTCACTACAATACGCTTTAAATAACGGCGCATTCCATTCTTTGGAATGCGCCTGAATAAATGGCGCATTTAAATGAGCCAATCAATATCGCGCATTCAACTGATGCGTCAAATATTTTGGCGAATTTGCTCTTTTTTAAATTTATTTTTGCTCACACTGCTTCCGCTAAAATTGGGAACAAATGCGCTATAAATTGTGTATTTTGACATTATTATACTCATCTTAATTGAATTAAAAAAAATTATAAAAATAAAATCTTTATGTATTCACTGTTAGGCTCAATGAGCTTGCTAAGGACTTCCATTTAAAAATCAAAACAAAAACGTTTTTCATATCACATCCTCATAATTGTCTTTGTCAGTATTAATTAAATTATATTAAACAAATAGTGCCAATTTGATAAGATATTGATAAATATTAAATATAAATTATGATTTTTAAGATATGCATTAGTTGAATGGACGGTTCACAACGACAAAGCAGTAATTTTTTTGTATTAGTAAAATTAGACAAAACACCCTTGGATATAATTGCAGTTGGGAAACGCAAATATAATTTGTATTTTCAGTGAAAATGTAAAATTAAACTGCATTTTCAGAAAAAAGTGCAATTTAATTTTGTATTTTCATCTTAATTAAAAAAGAAAATTAATTTTATATTTTGCTTATTTATATCCATTTGCAAAGCATCCTTGTCTCTCCTCCGCATCCAAATAAAAAGAATTAAAGATGTTGTTATTCGCTGTCTGCACTTTCGCGCTCCACGGATTCTCTCTCGATTTTCTCTACTCTGCGACTGATCAAACCGAGCGCGATCTCTCTCTCTCTGCTCAAACATGGATCTCAGGGAATCGATCGTGCACCAAACGAGCTTCTCTTTGCAGTTCGCGAAGCTCGTCGGCTCGTCCCTCGCCAGCGACTCCAACTTCGTCTTTTCACCGATCTCGATCCACACCGCCCTTGCTCTCGTCGCTGCCGGATCGAAAGGCGAAACCCAGAAGCAGATCCTCTCCGTTCTTCGATCGGGCTCTGCTGCCGATCTGAGCCTTCTCTCCTCCCAGATTGCGGACATCGTCTTAGCGGACGGGTCTTCTTCGGGTGGACCTAGACTGACCTTGGCTAATGGCGTCTGGGTCGATGCATCGCTTTCGCTCAAATCCACGTTCAAGGATGTGATTACTTCTGCCTACAAGGCCGAGACCAAAGCTCTCGATTTCCAGGCGAAGGTTGGTTGATATGTTATTAATCTCATGAATGCATATTTCATCGCTCATACATGCCAAATTGGAGTGATATGAGCTGATTACTAACTAGCTAGGGATATCAATGCTCCGTTATCTTGGGTTATTAGTGAGTAAGCGCATATTTTGTAGTTGTAATATTTACCATTTGAAAATCTTCTTCACAATCTTCATCTTTAATTGCGTCTGGATGTTTGATGTCACGATCCTTAGTTAAGGAAGAGATTATCATTTATGTACAATTTGTAGCTCAATTTATTTAATCAAAGGGGTAGGATTGCCAATAGTAGAAGAAAAACCCTCGTTCCCCTATGGGCATGAGGGCCTGCCCCAACGGTTGACCTGCTCTGGGAAGCTCTATTCTTATTCTGGAAATTTTCATCTTAGACATTTCAGGCAGCTCTATTGGATGCCCTATCTACTTGAATCATTAGGGAATAGGCTTGTTGCATGCTAGAATATCCGCGGTGATAGAGTAAGAGAGTTTAACTTCTTCGCATTGCACAGAGATCTAGTATACATACTGATGAGAGAAAAGTCATAAGAGATACTAGAGTTTAATTATGACATCGCCCCTCAAATAAAAAGCATCATTAAGTATTATGTGTTTAGAGTCCACTCAACCACATTGGTCCATTATGGGAGTCACTTTCTCTTGAATCTTGGTCAACCATGGCGAAAGAATGAATACCATTATGAGCTATCAATTGCATGAATCATTTATCTCTTCCTTCCTAACAAGAGCTATCAGAGAAAAGTCATAAGAGATAGTAGAGTTTTTTATGTGAAAAGTCTTGAAGGGGAGAACATGAAATGATTTCAATAGCAGTCATCACCAATAAATGATGTTCTTTCTCGTGATTGAGTAGGTGTTGATATAATATAATAGAAATATGCTGTACATGACAAATTCCATGATGAAAGTTTGAAGAGCCCTATGGTTGTGGCATAAGAGTTATTTTTAAGAGATCATTTGTTATATGCCTGGTCTTACTCCTTTTGAGGGGAGACAAGAGACCAAAAAGTCCAATATAAATTTTGGTGTTGACGTCAAGAGTCATAGTTGGTGTCAGTAGTATGAATCGATCTTATGGGTAATAGAATGCATTTACATTGATGGCGGCAACATATAACGAATTTAGAGAATTTTGATGTAGCCAAGAGACAATGGTCAGAGGATCGTAGTTGAGCAATTATGGTCGGAGAAACATAGTTGGCGATGGTCATCAGAGGACCATAGTTGTGCGACAATGGTCGGAGGATTGTTGAGTGATGGAAATCAAATGATCGTAGTAGAGCGACAACAGTCGAAGGATAGTTATCGAGACTACGGTCGTCAAAACACCATAGTCGGAGGACTATAGTCAGACAGCAGTGGTCAAAGGACTGTAGGAGGGCGATAGTGATTAAACAATGTTGGTTGTATGGTGATCCAACAACGGTGATTTGATGGTGGTATGACACTAGTGGTCGGATGGTGGTCATGTGGAGATGCTTAGGTGAGTTTTGGGATTCTTAAAGCCTTTGAGCACTCTTGGATCTCAAGTCAAGATCCTCCCATTTCATTTTATGAGTGGGGATCTATTTATAGATTTTTTATATTGTCATGCCTTGTAAATATAGCCAAAATATTGACCACTTAATCGGGTGCCCATATTAATTCTCTCAATTATAGAACATTCCTTTAGCATTTAAGTGCTTTAATGATATCACAATCAAGCAATCTTGGGCTCATTAGATTTGTCTATTCAAGAAGCTCGATTTGACTATAAGCATGCAAGATTTGAAGATTATTTTGTCATCCAATTAACATCCTGAAGTTTTCAATTATGTTTCAAGTGTTTGATCTCGGCTCATTTGGACTCGAATTAGATCAATTTTGGTGTCAATGGGTTCATCTTGTTGAGAAGTTCAATTTGACTATTAAGTTTATTGAAATATGATTTTGGATTATTTTAAATTTAATTCCATTAGTTTTAAATTCAAATATGTATTGAGATTCGTGTTCAATCAAGACAATTTTTTATGACGTTTCAAGACTTAAGATTCTTGATATAATAGAATCCATTAAACGGTTTAATCATTTGTTTTATATAGTAGATTTTGTAAGTAGTACTTCATGTTGATGATCATGTTAAATCATATGTACGTGGCCTACTTCCTTGCCTTTTCTTCTTTTCTGTTTGTGGTATCCATGATGTTGATTCTCTAACCTGGTATTGGAGCTTGGTTGGTGAGTGCTAGGTTTGTGTTATTTGAAAAAGGTGGGAATATATAAGCTGAGTTTGAGGAATAATGGTAAGGATAGTTTCATCTGTGGAAGTGTCAGATTGGAGATTTCTGATGCATGAAAGGTAGTTTTTTGCATTAAAAAGAAAAAGATTGCCTAAGATAGATGATAATGATTAGGGCAAAATGGATCATATACGTTCACTAGAATTGTCGTATCTGCAATGTGTTATTTAAGATGATTCCAAGGGTTTTTGCCTTCGTGGAATAGTTGAGTAGTTGTATGCGGCTAAAAGTATTGCAAACAAGTTATGTTCAAAGAGATGTTACTTCTTTGCTTTAGATCTCGTTG